AGTCGCCTGTCCCGATTCTATAATCTGACAAACCGCGCGAAGATCCCGACGAGCTCCCTACCGTCACCCGCTCAATGACCTTTTGGCGAAATGGGTTCATCATTGAGGGCAGTGAGCTCATGTCATACGACGACCCAGTCAACGCTCGTATCCTAGACGAAATCAACGCAGGGTGAGTCCTTCCGTAAGTACTGTATTATTTGTAATGACTTCGTTTTGCTTGCAGCCGTGCTCCACCGTCGATCTTCAATGTCAAAACGGGCCAGCGAGTGGAAGTACTACTCGCTAACCGCATGCGTGAGGACTATGTGCCATCTGTTGCGGGACAGTCGCCTCTCGAAACTTGAGGATACAAAGATCAGAGAAACGAAATATTTGACAATGTCAGAACGTACCGCAGGAAGATGGGGAATAAGCTTTGTGAATATGTATTCTGAAGTCGCCAATAGTGCGTGCATGTGACAAAGGATGTAAGCTCGTCGCACTACGAGGACGGGAACAACACTTCCAGTAGCGTTGCAGAGAGGCCGGTCGGCGGCAGTATGAATATCGCACCTAGAGACACACAGGACCATCGTGAAGACTTTAGGGTCGAAGATAGAGAACGATATCTCGCCAAATCAACGTGAATGTGTTAGAGGAGAGCTACGCACTTGAGGGAGGAATGTGCAGATTCAGCACGTGCTCGAGCAGGCAGAAAATGTATCCGCGTTCCTTGGTGACAGAAGCGAGATCAGACAGGAGAAGGCTAGGTACATCTTTTGCTACTGAGAAGACTGGTGTCCTGTTCGGTACTTCCATGCTTGCACGCGTGTCAACTATTCGTCTATTCGTTGCTGGAGGTAATATTCACGCTTGTGTTGCATAGTTGGACGGCAAGGAGCATGTGAGTGCGTTTGCGGGCGACGGCGATCTAGGCGGATTTTTGGGAAACGCCGCTTGGGTCCAAGGTGCGACGAGTGCAGCCCGAGTCGGAATGTACCGCTGTCATTGTAGTGCTGTAATTACGCTGTGTTGCGTAGATGATGTTAAGGACTCACTATATTGTGGAAAGTTAGACGGTTCATCCTTAGCTCGTGTAAGCTACACTAAAAGTATCACATTGAAACTTAAGCTCCTGGTAGCGTGGCAGGAATTCGTGGCTTCAATCGTTCGCTTGAGGGCCAGTGAACCGTCTGGTAAGCGCATATAGCGCATGGATGGATAGGTTCGGTGCTCAGGAATAACTTGGCCTAACAAATCGGTAGCATACTGCAACTAAATCGATATCTGCAATCCGGGAATGCCAGTAGCTAGGCTGATAACTTGAGCAAGGAGACAGCATAGATGATGAGTGTCACGGACAAGATAATTTGCGAGGACAAGACTTGCTTTGTGGCGTTTTGATGCGCCACCAGATGACGCTGAGTCCGCTCGCCTCTCACCCGTGACACTTCAAGCTTCAAGTGTTACCGACGACGACCTCGTCGACGGCCCAGGTGGCCAGAATGCCTCTCATTAGTCCGTCGGTCGACATCTTCTTCACAACCGCCACAGCCATCATCACTGCCACATACTTCCTACTCAAGCGCACCCAGGTGTCGTCCCGCTCGCCATACCGTCGTGCCCTCACCCTCCTCGTCCTGCTGCACTCGCTCTATATCGTCTATGTCATCACCGTACGGTACCCACCGAACATATTTACACGCCTCGGGCTACCGATGAACACGCATTCGGACAACATTCGCGCTCTCATTCTACAGAGTGCGGGGCTCGAGCCGAACGCCACGCTCCCGAGACCGCTCGAGACACTCCTTACGAGGCTGTCGTCGTTCGAGGTGAGGAATGTATATGTCAGGTCAGTTGTGCTATTGCTACCCTGTATACATGGGGCTGATTGTTGCCTGCGTGTGGACAGGTACGGCCAGTCTGTGGTACAGAATTGCGAGCACTGCCGCACAGCAGACGAATACGCACTCTTCGCACTCCCTGGCCCTCTCATGCAATACATCCGCGAGGCAGCCGTAGTTGGCCTGCTAACCACCACAGAAAGCCATCGTAGCCGCTGGAGAAAGCTCGGGATTATCGCTGTCGTCGCAGCGGGTCTCTTTGAGGGATACAACATCATCACCGCGCAGATCACAATACCGAGAGACGGCGCGCGGCCGTTCATGGTGAGTCTTCTCCGTCACACTTTGTGGAGGTTGTTCAGAGTGCTCACTCGGACTTGTGGGGCGTAGTGGGCGGAGATGTTCTGGCTGTTCCGTCAATTATTCTTCCTTCTCCTGCCCATCGTCCTACACTCCCTCCCTGCCACACCGCCCCCAGACCCATTCGGGAAGATGCTGAAAACCAAGCACTTACTCGGCACCCTGCACACGCGGAATATATTGCTTCAGTTCGTGAGCGGCGCCATCAGCAGGGAACCTTCGTTACGCGAGTCAGCGTCGCAGTGGTGGGAGAAGCAGCGGACCGTTGGGCAGTGGGTGAGGGAGGATATCACGGTGCAACAGACGGCGGAAAAGATCGGGAATGGGTACACGGAGGGGTTGGGCGAGGCGAAGTTGTTGAAACAGCTGCAGCAGACCACCGACGCCATGCTTTCCGTGCTGACTCCACCATCGTAGAGCTCGGCCTGTGCAAGTACTCTATCGTAGGTTCATAATGGTTTGAACGTACCATTCATCTGTCTGTAGCATAACCATCACCTAACAGTAACTTATTTCATTACACTCGCAGAATCCATGTAAGAGCACTTTAGTATTTCTAACGGCGATGAACATTGAGTGTATGCAACGGTGGAGAGGTCAGAGAGAGGAAAAGAGTAGTAACGAGAAAACCGAAACAGCTCATTAGGGTGGGAGAAGAACCGCGGTATCCAATATGCTGGTTGACTATTAATGTTACAGAGCGCACGCTAAGACGTGGATGCAGTAATGTCCGGTGTCGTAGATCTTCGTGACGAAAAGCAATTACGCAGCCACTTTCGTCGGTTCGAGGGGGTGCTCAGCCTGGGAGGCGAGCTCCTCCTCCATCGCCGCCCGTCCTTCAGGAAGGACGGTAGGGATACCATCCTCCCAGTCCTCTGCGAAGTACTTCGGGATGAACCTACGGGGTGGGGTAAACGTCAGTTAAGACAGCGTCTGGGGGTAATTGAATGTACGTACTTCGTCCCCTTCCTCTTCCTTTCTGCCGCGTCGTCTCTCTGCTTCTGTTCGATGGCGTGCTTGAACTTGTTAGCGTCTCCGTACTGCTTGTTCAGGAGGTTCTTCGTGACGTTCTCCCACAGCTTCCTGCTCTCCGTCGGCAATTGCTCGTCCAACGGCCGCACCGACTTGGGGATGACCTGCAGCTGACTGAGATCAAGGAGTGGCCGGTAAGCGGAGTCGGGTTCCTCAACCAGCTTCCACTTGATGAGGTGCTTCCAGGATCCGTGGAACTGAGCGACCACCCGAGACTTCGGGACATGCTTGACTTTTGTCCATTCATGGTGCGCGATGCCTGTGGGGTCGTACGCATGTACAACACCCTCGATCAGGAAATGCGCCTTCCCGAGCCACGACTCCTCCTTGAATTCGATGATGGTCCGCAGCTGCTCGTCGTCCTTTGTCGACTTGGTGCCGGAGCAGGTGATGATGGTTGAGTCGGAGACGGTGAGATAGAAGTTGCCTCGCAGGATACCGTTGACGCTGACAGTGGGGTGCGTAATCTGGTACGTCTCTCCCTCCGCGTGTCCGCCCGTACCACGGATAAACATGCCTTTGTTGTAGGAACCGGGGGTGACGCGTACGTTCATGCCAGACACCTTCGCCGAGATCTGGTCGATACCGACCATCTCGAGGTTTCGGCTTGGGCAACTGGCGACATATGCACTCACGGGAGGGTGGTGTGAGATCTGCTCCGTGAGGTAGGCGACGCGTATGCGAGGACGGTTTGCGATGGGGACAGGAGGATCGTCGGCTTCCACCAGTTCCACGGGCTGCTCGCCTTCGTTCAAGCTCAGCTTGGAGATCTGTGCGTCCAGCTCTGTCTCAATCAACTCGGGAGATGTCGCAGGAGTGCTCCTGCCGGGCGTCTGAGGGCTAGAAGCTGCGCGAGACGTCGCGCTCTTGATACTGCTTACACCGCTCTTTGTACTTGCCGTCTCCGCTCTCGATGACTCAGTAACCGGAAGCTGCGAGATCGAAGACTCCGCTGCGGCCTCGGAGAGATAGAGGTGTTGAATGGGAGCTTGCGTGCGGTCATCTGAGGGGTACGATACGGGGATGACGTCCCAGTGTGCACGGAAGTGTTCTCCTAGCACTGAGTTGTATGGCTTGCAGACTTTGCCATGCTGATGACATCGATCAATAAGGATTTAAAGCTGCATAAGACCCTAGATGAACGTACTATCCATTTGAGATCTTTAGCAAAGGAGAAGCGAAGAACAGCAAGCATTCGTTCGAGAGGGTCCGCAGAGTCATTGATACTGCGTCATATGATTAATCATCGCAGGGCAGAGCCAATATAGATGAGCGACGTACGCAGCAAATAAGTCAGGACGGTCGAGGTAATGCCAGTATTCCAAGTTGGGGATTGGCTCCAATAGCGATGCAGGTAGAGAGAGTCGCCTACAAAGGGTTTGCGAGAATGCTGACAATGATTGCGCCGAATACTTACATGGATGCAATATCCTTCACACCCAGACACTTCTTGACGAGGGTGATTATCATCTTGAGTTTGGAGCCGTCACCACCGTCGCCGGTATCGGGAACAGAGACTGCGGCCTCGTTGGTGTCCTCATCGTTCACAGCTTCGGTGTGGGGGTTGCCAGCAACGTCACCGTGCGAAGACATGGTGTGCACGAAGTCTCAGCAGCCGTGGGGGTCAAAGAGAAAGAGCGTGCGGAATCCGCCTGCGAGATGGGGAACAGGACAAGAGGGTCGGCTGCCAAGGGACGGCACGCGCCAAGCACTTATCAAGTCGCTTGCACAAACGTTCATTCGCTCAAAATAAGGATCAAGCCGACAGCAAACAAAAATTGGTTCAATCCAGGCTCGAACTGGAGACCTCCCGTGTTTTGAACCTTGTGAGACGGACGTGATAACCAACTACACCATTGAACCATGGAAAACGGGCTCGCAGCGTATCAACACAATATCCAAGTGTTATTTCCGCGGCTTTCAAAACACGCTCACATCCTCTTGACGTACACCTCCAAGAACACAGAACAATCTATCTCGCCTCGACAGCGACAATCATTGTACTGGTGCGACGTCACCAGGACAATGCCGCAACGGAATCATGGAACCTATCACTATAGCGTAAGTCCACCGCAGCTTACGTGGAATGTGACTGAGTGCGTTGATAGTATGATCTGTGATTTCTTCCATCCCAATGTCGGGGGAGTGGAAAACCACATATACATGCTCAGTGCCAATCTTATCCGACGAGGACATAACGTGAGTCTGGGCACATTCTCTCCCTTGTAAACCGCAGTCCTCACTTCCGTAGGTAATTGCCATCACACATAGCCACCCTCCCGACCGAGTGGGCATTCGCTGGCTACTACCATCTCTGAAGGTGTATTACATACCCTTCCCGACCATCGCGTCCTCCGCGACTCTTCCCAATTTCTTCACATTCCTTCCCTATCTACGGACCATTGTTCTTCGCGAGGGTGTCCAGTTGATCCACGCACACGCAAGTTTATCCTCGCTAGCTCATGAGGGTATCCTCCATGCACACCATATGGGGGTGCGCACCGTATTCACAGATCACAGCTTATTTGGATTCGACGACGCTGCTAGCATCCTGACTAATAAGCTTCTCGAGGGGGCACTGAGGAATGTCGATGCTGTAATCTGTGTCTCTCATACGGGGTGAGTCGAGTCTCTGCGGTGGCAGCCGCAACGTACTCAAAACATCTCGATAGACGTGAAAATACGGTTCTACGAGCAAAGATACCCCCCGAGTCTGCCTATGTGATTCCTAGTGCCATTGTTGCGGACCAGTTTACACCGGACACCACAAAAGCTGTGTCAGATATCGGTGGGCGATCTCGCGTAATTTTCCAGCTTACGAAGCTAATCACGTTCTTAGTTACTATCGTTGTTGTCTCTCGCCTTGTATACAGAAAGGGTGTAGATCTTCTTGTAGCCACCGCCCCTCGAATATGCAAAGCATTCCCCAACGTTCGATTCGTCATAGGTAGGTCCCGTCAGCAGTGATGTCGCCTTCTATTCATAATATCTTGCAGGCGGCGCCGGACCTAAGATGATTGATCTCCTAAGAATGCGAGAAAAACACTCATTACAGGACCGCATAGAGCTGTTAGGCCCTGTGAAGCATAGTGATGTCCGAAACGTAAGCGTGGCTGCACAACAGCGGAGGAACGAACTCACCCACAGACCTTATACAGGTCCTTACGCGGGGGACAATATTTATGAATACGTCGCTGACAGAATCATTCGGAATTGCCATACTGGAAGCAGCCTGTACCGGTCTGTACGTGGTGTCTACACGGGTAGGAGGCGTGCCTGAGATCCTTCCACCGGATATGATCTCATTCGCCAATCCCGACGAAGATGACGTTTTTCGGGCAATGTCAGAAGCTATCGTGCTAGTCCAAGCAGGGAAACATGACCCGCAGGCCGCACACGATCGTATTCGAGGATTCTATGACTGGAAAGATGTTGCCGAGCGTGTTGAGCACGTCTATGACACGGTCATGCGCAGTGAACCGTACGATTTTTGGACGAGGATGAGTCGGTGAGTGGCCTCCTTGTTCTATATCTGCATGCACAGCGATTGATGAATCGTGGCAGTACACTTGATCTTGGCCGATTTGCTGGGCCAATATTCGCCATTATCCTCGTCGTTGATTGTCTGTTTTTCATGTTTCTCGAATGGTGGATGCCAGAATGTGACATGGACAAGGTGCAAATGCACTGGGAGCATGAACGGTTTGTAGAGGTAGGCTGCGTGTACATCCAACTTGCCTGTAAATGTTCTGAGAGGTCTGCTCATCCAGCTCGTCGACCAGGATGAACATCCATCATCTCAAGGAAGGAATGATACCAAGGCTGGATCATTACACTAGAGCATTCGAGTATTATCTCACTAGAGGGGGACTACCAATGGATTAGACCCATTGTAATAAGACATATGTTTCAAAACATCTTATCGTCAAACATTTAGGACGCATCAGGGCGTTGATAGAGTATTGGTTATCGCTGATTATATCCCCTGTATAGAAGCACTCTTTCATGGTTCGATGGTGTAGTGGTTATCATTCCTGTCTTACATCCTATGGTGTTCACAGGCGGCCGCCGGTTCGATCCCGGCTCGAACCAACTTTTTCATCATTCCACTGGGAAATGTTTCAAAGGCCCAGACGTGGCTTCATCTCATAACTTTTGACAGATAGTGTAACGCCACTTTCCCTCTGTTTGAACATCTGCCTACAATGTCATGCCCACGCGCAGACCTCCTGTATCTCAATATTGGTATGCAGCGTTCCAAAGATCGACAGAATCTTTTTTCTCGCGGAGGCAGATTCACTCAGTAACGCCATGTACCGACTTGATAACAGCGTAGACGTCTAGATAACGGCATTAGTGTTATGATACCCGTATTCCATCATCACATTGAGTTGTGGGCTCCTGTGAGTGCGTCTGAGCTCAATGTGGTCCGACGGCAGAGTACAAATATGGAAGTCTGTAGTTGGGCAAGGATGGCGGTGAATATAGCTTTCGAGGAGTAGTCTGAGGGAGTCCAGCGCGCTATACCCGGGTGATTAGCATGGACGAATGACCTGCTGGTATCTCCTCACCTCGAGGTCTGCAGTCACTCGGGATCTGTTATCACGAGAACGGGATTTCAGATCGCTTATCTGCTGTGCTGCAGCCCATCATTTACATTGAACCCTGAACGTGCTGGCACCTGCAGGTTTCCTGTGGGTGGGACTCGATTGGGATAGCGAGGTTTTGAACTCGTCGCCCCGGCGGCGCCACGCTGATGGTTCCGCTCGTGACGGAAATACTCCACGAGCTGCGAAAACATTGTTCATGGACCTGACAAGCCTCTCCCAATGGTACAGTATATTGCCTACATGGATTTAGGTTTTAGCTATGGACACGAGGTTTGGGGTCGGCGCCTGGACGAGTGAGTATCGACATACTGACCCGCTTGATCTGCGCAAGTCTGTAGTGGGAGAGTGAATTGAACACTAGTCCGAGTCGATGATTCCTTGTGCCCGTTCTATACAAGAAGTTCTATTGTCTTCTAATAGGTTAGTAAGCGGTTGAATAGAGGGGTCCGATTTTCGTTGAGCATGCTCGCCTTCTTATCTGATTTCCAATATATCAGCTATACTCACTCCGAAATGGAAGCATAACGTACAAGAGGTGGCTCGCCGCAGTATAACGAGACTCGGCTGCCAGCCATATAGATACCGGAGATGCTGCTCGGTCGTGAGACGATCTATGTTTCGCAGCACATTGACTGTGTTCGTGCTTCCACCTGACGCCACAATACAGAAGAAAGGCGTGTTGCAAGCGGAGGTCACCGGAAGGAAGCGTTCGAACGTCTCGGATGTCTTCAGTCAAATAAACCGGTGGCATGTGATGAGCCAGGCCCAGGCGTATTAACGAGCTCGTTCCTGATGCACCATGGGTGTCGACGGTTAGTTGTAGTGGTGCTATCTCCCGGGGTACCTAAGGAATTAAATTATCGGCGACCTGGCCCGGAGGGCGTGTCAACCCCCACCTTCCGATCTGCACCTTGCCCCGAGGGTCAAGCGCTCTGAGATTTGGGGTCGAAATCTGTGTGTTCTGACAAGCGACAGAACTGGGTCACACATCACGGCCGCACCCAGCATTGCAGAATGTCCAGCGTAGATATGTCGTAAATGATACAGTGTAGGTAAGCTAGTGTACACACCATGAGGTGAAACCAAATGTTCGAACAGTCCCCGCTCCCGATGAGAGCGTGTGAGGTGCGCGATGCCCAGGAACATCTTGTTTTGAAGTTACGCGCCAGACCGAATGCTACCGCCTGGATAACATAGAGCAACATTAGTCTCAGCCGATAGTATCATGCTCAGGGCGTACATCCTGTATTTTCGTTTCAATTCTGCCCACGCGGGCCCAGCATCAGCATAATGAGTCACAAAGTCGGTCATGTCTTGCTCTGGTATGCGGTTGATGTCGACCTGATTCCAGTATTGAGTGAGAGCGTACACGATGTCGTTAGCATCATGTTCTAGGCGCCGGCTGCGTGGTTCGTTGGTGAAGTTGTGAAGTAAAGATACACGTAAATGCATACATCACCCAAGCTTTGATTTTTGCTCTGATGAATTCCGATATTGTGAGGATTGGTATGCCGGCGTAGATTACAACAGTCGTGTTGTCAAGCCGGCGAGGTCCTTCTTCTCCAGCGGGTAGGATCTCAATCTGGAAGGGGTATATACATTGTCATCAAGAACGTCCAGAACCAAGCTCTTACGTCGATTGGCGGTATAAGACCATTGTAGACAGCATGTAACCTGAGTAACCATCAGTCAAAAGCGCGATTGACACATGGGGTTATTAACCTATTCGTCCATGGTGAAGAACGTGTGGTCACGTCTGCACTTGATGCGCACGCCTGCCGCACTCTCCGGAACGGATGGGTTGCTCCAGCTTCCACTATGCAGAAGATTTCCTAGTGGCAGTTCAACGGAGTTCTAAGCCACACCAAACAACAATTTGTGGCTGCTTACATCGCAGTGAGGTGCATTCGCCAGCAAAGCAAGCATGAATCCTCCGTAAAAGGCGTGGGGGATACCGGCCGCAGCCAATAAAGCGTGGAGCGCTGCGGCTGCCTCTAGTAAGCGACGCAGTTCGTGGGCCATGGTGGACAGTCAGATAGGAAGAAAAGGAAGATAGCATGTCCTTCATGAGCACTTTTGACTGAGGATCATGACGCAAAGTTAGGAAGGAGGGAGAGGGAGTATTGGATTGGGTCCATCGTGGATAAAGCCGAGGCACTCGAGGCGCCTGATGTAAACTTTGCCGAAAGGTTCGACTTCACAGACATATTTGTTGTGCAATCACCGACAACACGTTGTGGATATGAAACCGTG